ACAGGCTTTGTGAAGGAGGGGAGCTTTTGGATAGAATACTGTCAAGGTACTTCTTTGTTGTCATTTATCGATTTATTTTACTTTTCTTCTCTTAACTGTTTTTTAATGCGAAAACAATCTGTTCTATGGAAGTAAGCATATAAAAGTTAACCGGTGTATTAAAAAGATCGTGCTCCTATACAGAGGCGGAAAATACAGTGAAGATGATGCCAAAGCGGTGATGATACAAATATTAAATGTTGTGGCGTTTTGCCATCTTCAAGGTGTGGTGCATCGGGACCTCAAACCTGAGGTTGGTAAAGTTTTTAATTTCAAAACGCTCATCTCTGTGTGTTGAGCATATAACCATTAATGTAAGCTTAAGCTTTTAGTTGAGATGGAACACATGCTTCAATTTGATATCAGAGCCAGACCAAAGGTCATGGGTTCGAGCAACATAGAAGTTGTAAATTTTTATAATTTTATTATGTTCTTAACTGTAGCTTATTTCTGGAACAGAACTTCTTATATACATCTAAGGATGAAAACGCACAACTGAAAGCCATAGATTTTGGGTTGTCAGATTTTGTAAAGCCAGGTTTGTTTTCCTACTTTTTGTAAGGCTATAACATCCCGATGGTTTTCTTCATAGCACCGTTAATCTTTTTCTTATTTCCTATGCTTACCGTTGTTTCAGATGAGAGGCTTAATGATATTGTTGGCAGTGCCTATTACGTAGCCCCTGAAGTTCTACATCGATCTTATAATACTGAGGCTGATGTCTGGAGTATTGGTGTCATAGCATATATTCTTCTTTGTGGCAGTCGCCCTTTTTGGGCTCGAACCGAGTCGGGAATCTTTCGAGCTGTCCTAAAAGCCGATCCAAGTTTTGAAGAAGAGCCCTGGCCCGCACTTTCTTCCGAGGCGAAAGACTTTGTGAAACGTCTGTTGAACAAAGATCCACGGAAAAGAATGACTGCATCTCAAGCCTTGTGTGAGTTGCTTCTATCATATTTTAGAGGTGTAATCTTTCGCTCGTTTTTTTTTCAAAATAAGAACTGCTCATATATTTAATTCTTGTTCGGTTGTTCCAGGTCATCCTTGGATACAGAAAGGGAATGACGTGAAAGCTCCATTGGATATACTAATATTCAAACTCATGAAAGTTTACATGAGATCATCTGCTCTAAGGAGAGCTGCTTTACGTGTAAAAAAAAAAATCTCTACTTTTTTCAGCATCTCAATTTGGTAGTTCATAATTTTGTGATGCTTCTGTATCTTTACTCTTTTTCTTTTTTCTGGGTTCTTGACAGGCTTTATCGAGGACATTAACTGTAGATGAGCTTTTTTATTTGCGGGCGCAATTCTCTCTGCTGGAACCAAACAAAAATGGCACCATTTGTCTGGAAAATATCAAAGCGGTTGGTTTTTTTTTTTTTTTCCCCCGAGTACCTTGATCTGATTATTGCTAATGTTTTGAAGTACCCTCTCAACTTGCGTTTTTTGTTCAGGCCCTGATGAAAAATGCAACGGATGCCATGAAAGATTCACGCATCAACGAGTTTCTTGCATTGGTATACCCTACTAACATCCCGCTACATATTTGATTATGTCGAGTGTGGAAATTTGCTCCTAAGCGGTCTTCTCTATTGTCATGGCAGTTTAATGCTCTGCAGTACAGGAGGATGGATTTCGATGAATTTTGTGCAGCTGCATTAAGTGTCCATCAGCTCGAGGCTCTTGACCGATGGGAACAACATGCTCGCTGTGCCTATGAAATCTTCGAGAAAGACGGGAACCGGGCCATTGTAATCGAAGAATTAGCTTCGGTAAAGATATAATACCCCCTAAATTGCTTTCAAAATCTTTTTCTTTTTTTCAGACAAACATACAATATCTTATAAACAAAGATTGGACTAGGGTTACTCAAGTGGGCTATAATGCACATAGGCCAAACCACACTAAAAGATTGAATCCAACCAATTAGCTAGTAAATCTAAAATTCGTGTTTCTGCAGGAACTCGGTCTTGGCCCATCCGTTCCTGTACACGCGGTCCTCCACGACTGGATCAGACACACCGATGGAAAGCTCAGCTTCCTCGGGTTCGTCAAACTGTTGCACGGTGTATCAAGTCGCACTATCGCAAAACCGCAATGACACCCAAGGTGGAGTTCTGAGTTCCGGCTTCAAATATTCTCTCTGATTCACCCACCCACCCACCCCATCATTTAACCAGCAAGTATATACTGTGCACAGACATGTTTGAGACCAAATCCAAGATTGTGAATATCCCTGATTCCCACCCCAATTATTGTCATAGAAATATATCAGCAGTGATGTTTCTTACTGTAAAGACGTAGGTAATGTGTGTATAATTTCAGAATCGAGAATGATCGATCCCTTTGTGTAAACTTCTGGACCTGATACAAATCTCAAAAGTTTGAATAATTTGGTCAAGAAATGGTGGAAGAGATTCATGTATCTAAGCCTGCATGAGGTATCTAGTTTGTCGGCAAAAATTTTGTCAAGAAAAGCTGGCGATCGTGTTGGGGATCAATGATCATCAATCATTGAAAGGATGTATAGAAATAAACATTTAGACAGAATATGGTTGGTTGCCTGGTTGGGTGTGATGAACATGCTTCTGATAAATCATGGTTGACAGGACTAAGCCCAATGAATCCAACACACACATGAAGCTAGAAGGCCCCACCCAATGACAGCTACTCTTTTCAAATAGTGCATCTCCAATAGTCTTTAATTTTTTGTGGTTTTTGAGGTGCCACCTAGAAGAGAGAGAAGGAGAAAAAAAGACAATAAAAAATAAAAAATAAAAAAAGGACAAAGCAACAGTCATTTCTTTAAAGTGACCAGTTGGCGGCCAAGCACCCATGGAAAAATAGAAAACTGAAGGAATGGAGAAGGAAAACTAGAAATGAAAAAAAATAAAAATGAAGTAATCAACCCCAAGTTTTTCATTTGTCCAAAAATCTCAACATCAATTTTTATTGTTCCAAAAACTTAACAAAATATACTATTGGAGATGCACTTATAACAAAAGGTGGAATAGCTCAACCCAAGATTATGAAAAGGAAAATTATGATGATTTTACTAATCAATAGAGGTTAGATTTTTTATTTTTATTTTTCTTCCTGCATGCATATAAGGAGTCCCCTCATTTAATAAGTTATTCTCATATTGTCGTTGATGGGATCTAATTCTTAGTCTCTTATGATAAATTTTATCTTTGTGATTAGTTGATTGAGTGTCCATGTGAGTTGCTCTCTTCAAATATATGTTTTAGGGTTTTGAAGAAACCAAATTCCATAGTACCTACGTAACTACCAACATATATATACATTCATATGTACGTAGTTAGAACACGATTCCTTATGTTATCCATGGAAAACATGTCCCCATGTGGTCTTCTTCTACGGGCCCTTTGGTCATTAGTGTTTGTGCTGGACCAGTCACCAGTCTATAATTGGAAATCATTGCATCATATTCATCCACTCACTATTTGGGGGCAACATTCTTCATTTACAACCCAATCAAATTTCACCAAAGTACCAGAACAAAATCACACTCATCATTCATCATGTACTCCTGCCTACCCAAACACTCACAGAGAATTTTTTTTTTTTTTTTTTTTTTTTTTTTTTTTTTGGAAAAGGTGTGAAATAGGTTATTGAACATTTATACTTTGTTTAATTGGACTATTGTAAAAAAGTGTACAATTGAGACATTAGACACGTAAAAATTGTGCAATATAATTAACATTTTTTACAAGTAATTTTCAACTTTCCAGTAAAACATAATGTAATAATGTTACTTGGTATATAAAATAATTGTTTTCAATAATAATTCAATAGTTAGAGAATATTTTTTTTTTAAATATGAAAAAAAAATGTATACAACCTATTTTTATTTTGCTGCAATGAACTTTTGAAAACATGTCTTCATCCGGTCATGATTGATTGACTTTTACCTAACGAAGGAGGGGCAGCCATCTCCCTTTGTCTAGATCAAGAGAACGACAACTGTTCCTCCTTTGTCTACACCGAATGAAGGAGGAGGCAATCATGAATGCCTTCCCCTTCATCCATAGCGGATGAAGGAGGGGGCGACCATGACTGCTTCCCTCTCATCCGATTTGGAAGAGGGAGGAGGCAACATTGGCTGCCTCCATTCTCTTCCAAACAGGACAAAGGTGGGGCAGCCATGGCTGCCTCCCCCTTCCTCTAGATTGGACAAAGATGGGTGTAATCATGGCTACCTCGACCTTCGTCCGATCAGTAAGGACAACAGTGAAGGTAGCCATGCCACTCTGAAGTCTTTTTTTTTTTTTTTTTTTTTTTAAATTATTTTAATAATAATAATAATAATAATAATTAACTAATTAAAATTTTATATATAACTTGATGTCACTACAAAATAACGTCCATGTAAATATTAACATTTTAAAATCAACTATATTAAATGTCATTTCATCAATTTGACTTGTTTTATGTGTAGCAACAAGTTAAAAAATGCTATTGAATAATTTTTACGTATTTAATGTCTCAATTATATACTTTTATTGTTCAATAGTCTAATTACACAAAGTGTAAAAGTTTCATCTTTTTTTTTTTCAAAATAAAAAAAAAAAAATTCTGTTTAAAGTTTCATGTGTATATATTCATAAATAAATTCCTAAATAATAAATCAACTTGATATCAAATATTGAATTTTAAATTCATATATTTAATGATAATTTATAATATTTAAATTAATTGGGCATGTCGATCAATAATAATAATAATAATGATGATTTAATAGATTAAAATATACAGCAACAGTACCCAAAAAAATCATTGGGGCCTATAAATCAAACCCCTAAACACACATAGAGGAATAGAATAGCTAATGTAGAGATTCAAATTTAGGACATTTTACCTATCATTTCTAGTTTGTAAAGTGTTGTGCAAAGACTTGGAAGATCATATTGATCTAATATAATATTCTATCATCGAAATATAACTTTAACTAGCTGTTTTAGCTAAGAAGGACGAAGATCAATCTCTTGGGTCCAAGCGGATGGATGTTGAATATGCAAATGCCAATAGGTGCGAGCCAAGTGGTCGGGGTCCATTCCTCCATCTTCCCCTCCTCCTTCCTGCATTTCTCTCACCCCCCATCTTTGCTGTTGCTGCTGCAAAGATGATGAAGATCCCAATGCCCCTCTGCAATTATATAACAAATAATATATGTTTCTTCAGTATAAGTATATTTTGATTTTGTTATATATGTAATATGTAATATCACTTTAAGTATCAATCAATTATATATATATACTGGTCCCTAATGGAGCTAGGAGTAATCATTTGTGATGGCTGCCACACCATATGATATTATATATTGTTTAATTATTAAGTCATTTTCATGACAGGAAATGGTATGATTCCAAAAGGAAGTTTAAAGCACTGCTCAACTCCATCCAATCATATCAGCCTCAACTCTGGGGACCATTTTTTGAATTTTGGTTAGTTAGTTTACAGTTAACTCAAAATCAAAACTCAGCTTTTGTTAATCACACAAACTAATTTAATTTTATCAATCCATCTAGTATCAGTAAGGGCTACAAATTTTCGTAATTATTATGTTGCACTATGCAAAACTTGATAGTACATTCATAGATAACTGACTATGTATGCACTATTAGTTATCTGTGGATGGACTAACAAGTGTTTCTCATTCACCGTGATAATAATGAAAATGTTATAGCATTTTTTTCTCCTTTTTAGTTTATTTTATTTTTCAATATACATGGACGAATGAGATTAATCTATAGATCAATTCTCATGAAAGCGAGATCCTCTTGTGAAGCTAAATAAGAGTTTGCATGCATGCTATAGCTAGCATTAAAAGAGAATTTAATGAACAAATAAATAAATTTTGAAAAGTTTTGCAAACATTCCTAAACAATGAAAGGCTATTTTCTCTTCTAAATTTATGAAAGGAATCTACTTAATTAGTAATCAAATTCATCCTTTATATAATAAAGCTATATCGTTTGGGAAATAATTAATATTACAATTAATGCCACAACATCCTTTATTATTAAAAAAAAAGCACAACATTTAAAAAATAAAATGGCTATATATTATATAATCATATAAAAAATATACTTTTGAAAAATAAAATAGTTATATATTATATAATCATATAAAAAATGTGTTCAATTAGAGTTTAAATTTACACATACAAAATTTGAAATTTTCTTTCCAAATGTAATTATCTTAGTTATTATTCGTATTGTGAAAATTATAATATAGATGAAATACAATTAAGAATAAATCAATGTAATTATGTAAATTCTCTCTATAAGTTTATTTGAATATGCACATAATTAGAGATTATATTAACCATACAAAATTATAATTATAATTATAATTATAATTATAATTTTGTATTCTATAAAAATAATAAATACTTGACCAATGGAAGCTCAAAAATATTATTATATTAAATAATTTAAAATATTTTAGTTTTTCTATTTTTTATTTATATTTATAATAACATAATTTTTTCCCGTGCATCGGGTGAATTACTAGTTCAAATAATACCACAATAAGACATGAATATTGTGATTAAGTGATAAATTTAAAAGGAAAATGTAAGATTACTCTTCCAAAATAATAGTATCATAGTCTAAAACCGAAAGCAATTTCTCTACTATTTGGCTTACAAATTAAGAAAATGGCATGTCATGAATCATTTGGAATAAAAAACGAGTTAAAAACTCATGTAGAAACTCAAAACTTTTCTCATTTATTCAGATTTATAGTGGATACAAAAATGTTAGCAGGGATGCAAATCGGGCAGCTCATGCTCTAGCTAAGCATGTAAGCGCAACTTTGGCGCGTTCTGTTTGGAGGGATGGTCCTCCTCCCTTTCTGTTGCCTAGTATGGCTAATTTAATCTGATTTGGTTGGCTTTCAAAAAAATAGTGGATACAAAAAGTACATCCTATTGTTGGGCGAAGTCCAGTAAATGTCAAATCTAACACCCGGTGGCGGAAGATTGTTAGGCAGAAGTCAATAAAGAGCAAGTCCATGCCAGTAACCAATATAATCTTATGTTTTTGTTACCAGCTATAGCTTTTGGCGTAAGTGGTAAGCAGTCCATCCTAGGGCCAATATAATCTCATATCTTAATTAAATTGTAAGTTGTGAGGAATTTAGACCCTAAACCACATACAATCACATTTATTCCCCTAAATTTGGGGTAAAGAACAGTACATGTACATACCGAGATGTGGCAACGATGCCGTCGATGATGACATGTGCGACGTGTATTCCCAGTGGTTGAAACTCCCTCGCCAGGCACTGCGATAATCCTCTCAAAGCAAATTTGCCGCAACCTGCACATTTTAATTCATCGAATCACTCAGTGCAAATAATAATACAAATTAGCTATATATATAATAGATTATTGTTACATACATAATTCAGAAAAGCCAGCAACGCCGGAAACGGAGGCGGAGCAGCCGGAGAAGAGAATCGTCCCTCTACCCCTTTCCACCATGCCCGGCAATACCTGAACAAATTTCAATTAACCCATCCAAGATTGATTATATATATATATTCCCATGCACACAAGTTTGGTGAAGAAGAATTAGCAGAAAATTAAATTAACCTGTTGAGCGCAATGGAAGGCTCCGACGGAGGAGACGGCCATGGATTTCTCAAACTGGTCAACCTTAATATCCATGAAGTTGGTGGGCTTCCTAGACACCGCCTTGTTCGCGTTATACACTAAAACCTCGACGAATCCGAGGGACAGGACCCCCTCGAAGGCCTCTCGTATGCTCCGAGAATCCGAGCAGTCTATACGGATAGCGAACACCTGCGCCTTCTCTTCTCTCGCGATCTCGTCGGCGAATCTCGACAATGTACCTGTAAGTGCCCAGAAATGGAAGTTCAGGAATCAGGAATGGATAAAGTATTATTATATCAGATCTAGATAGGCCGGTAGCTAGGTCGACCTAAGTTCCGTGCGAGAATCGCGACGGTGTAGCCTTCGTGGACGAACTTGCGAGCGATGGAACGCCCGAGCTTCGGCCCTACACCAACCACGGCGGCGATGCCTCTCGACGACGACCCGAAGCCGCCGGAGCCTGCACCCATACTGCGCATCCTTAATTATATCTTAGTTTATGCAGCGCTATTATATATTATGTTAAGTTCCGATCAAAGAGAACAATAGCGTCAGTGCATACATATATAGACACATTATTTACGTAGTCACTGTCGGGATTGATTGATTGCTTCTTAGAGGAAATGAAATAAGTGATATATACACTGAAATGCTTTTGTGTTGCAATAATAATCCTCTTCCCATGTCATTTCACTTGTCTTACTTTAAGGGCAAATATGTCAACACAATACATTTTTTTTTTTCTCATTTGCCATTGAATTAGAATTTATAGGGAGGAGTATATGAATTCCAATTCAATAAAAGGTAGGAATTGAAATTCTCTATGGAATTGTAATTTTCTCCAACGAAACAATGTAAGTTGGCAGGCCAAAGAATTACATTGGGAGTGTTTGGCAAAATAGCTGTTAGCGGATTCAGTTAGCGGGCTTGACTAGCTGATAGCATTATCCGATTGTAGAAAGATGTTTGGTAAATTAGTTGTTAGCTTATAGCTGATTACATGTAAAATGTCATTTAAGGGTATAATTTATTTTCTAAAAAAACTAATCGAACAATTTTTTGAATTTTAATGTTTTAGAGCAATAAGTTGTTATAAAAAGCTTATTAACCAAACACTCATATTTAAACAGTTAATTATAGTTAAACAAGTTAAAATTGACAAGTAAACTAACTATGTTACCAAATATGAGTATCGTAAAAGAATTGTAATTAGAGTATATCAAACATCATATCCCATTAGCATTAATTTGTAGTTATGATTTTTGGCACAATATATATATATATATGTTAAGTTGTTTTAACAGCTGGGAAAGCAAAAAGTTGGAGGGACCGGCAGCATCATGTGCGCTGCCTCCTCGCCTGAGGATGAAAGACGTAGTGATGTGATGTGATACGCATCATCATATTCCCTCATTGCCCCTTCCCTTTGACTCTCAACTCTCAACCTTCTCTTTACTTTACCACTCCACCTTAGATGTGACTTGACGCTTTCTTTCCACTGCACCATGTTTACATTTTTCCAAAAATAATTAACAACGATTAATGCAATTTAAACTTCTTGAAAAACACAAGTTTTTATAAAGACTAATTCTATTATTTGATTGATTGAAAAAAAAAATTATTTCAAATATCGAATTTATTGTTTGGTTGTGTTTGAAATTGTAAATAATAATTTGTATAAAGATTAACATAACATGTCTTTGGACAATAATAATGTTTAAAAAAAATTCATAGTTTAAAATATTATTAAATTTAAATATTATAAGTACATATTTTATTATAATAATATAATAAACATGTACTAATCTAATAAGAATAAGAATTAATAAAGTTAGATCTATATTGGAAATTAAAATATGTTGGTTCAATTGTTTGTTGATATAAATGGTTCATATTATTTTGATTTTATTATTTTGTTATTTATAATTGTGTAACTAACAAAGTCATATATATGAGGACTTGCAAAGGTGGCCGACTTTTGTTCTTGTCCTGTGTATTGGGAGGTCTCTTTAATAGTGCGAGTGCGTTTGGTTGGCTTTAAAAAAAAAAAAAAAATCATGAGGGTAACATAAATTTTGGTTGTGAAAAAGAAGATACCAAAGATAAATTAAGAAACTTTTTTCTCATATTTGCAGAATTCAAATTCTATTATAAAATATTTGTTATGAATCAAACAGTATATAATTTAAATTTTCAGTTGTTTGAAAAAAAAAATTATCTAGCAAACTAAACGCTCCCTTACTAAACTCATTTTTTAGATGAGTTACATTGATGAAGTTTAAGGTATTTGATCAAACACTCATACTCTCATGTGTACATATATTCTTTAAGAATGATTTGTCATTTAAATGGAAAGAATTTGTTTTTCGCTAAGATATTAAATTTCAATTTATATAAATAAAATATTAAATTTTAAGGGAATTTGTCAAACAAGATCTACTAAGTAATATCTAATATTTCATAAATACCCAACCTATATATATACAGAGAGAGTACTGATTTTATAATTGATAATTGATAAATTGTATTTAAAACTCGTTTTTAGAGTGTTGACATTTGACAATATGAAAGTTTGATTCCTTTTTTAAAAGAAAAAATGTCCTGAGTTGATTTTTTGTTCAAAAAGCAAAGAATAACTTTACTTTCTTCTCCCTAAATCCCCAACCTGAATGACTCAATAGCTCAAGTGCTCAACAGACAGCGGTCAAATATATCGGTGCGCACAAGAGATCTATCCATTTTAAACATAATTTATACATTGTCGCTGTCGATGTTTGAACATTGATCTTTTCTCTTAAATATTGCCTACCGAACCAGCAAGCTAAGCCGGTGTGGGCAGAATAACCTTACTTTCTATTAATAGTAAGAGATGGGACGGGTGTCCAAATTCCAATACCAACCAGGCAACCACCCCTTTAACGAATGGAATTCCTAATAATAAAGGAAGATTTTGCTTTCTGAATCTGGACGCACGGATGATTGATAACAGCTTTCTATTTTGGTATATATGGAAATAATTTAGTAGGTTTCTTTATTATTTTATTTATTAATTATTATTAGCATTACTTTTTTTTTTTAAGCAAAAACCTTACTGCATTAAATCTGAAATAAGAACGTTCACAAGAAAGTGTGGAGGTGAGTGATACCACTCCCCGCAACCTGACATAGAACCCGCTTCTCGTACAAGGGCATGGGCAGCACGGTTCGCAGACCGCCTAATAAAACAAAATTGTACATTTTGTATCTGAGATACAATCTCATTTACATCATCCACTAACAAACCAAAATCAGAATTATAAGAAACATTATTTTTTTTTTTTTTACTCCGTAAATAATAGTGAGGATTGGAGTTAAATTTGTAGAAGTGTATGTAGGGCCTACGTAGGTTGATTTTATGGTGTGTTAATCTTATCTTGTTGGATTCTGAATCTCTGTGTATTTGGACGTCGACAGTGACTTCTCCCATGGATTGTGTGGTGTATATATAGCCTACCTATCCGTATTAAATACTCCACTTATATCATGTTTACTGTACACTAATCGAATCAATCTTTAAAAAAAAAAAAAAAAAAAACTTTTAAAACATTCTATTACAGAGTATAATTTTAGATTTAATAATATTTTAATATAATTTCCAAATATGTAAATTTTATGCATTATGGACTGATGAACACTAAACTAAATGTTGTTAAAAAATCAGTTAAAATTGGCATGTAAAGTGATTATTTTGAGGCAAAGTGATATGATTTGTGTCAAATCTTCATCTTGTTTCACTCCGTTCTGTGCTAAAAAACTCAGTCAGGAGGCTTCGTGTTATGGATGGTTCTTTACGAAGTGTAAATCCAGCACTCTCTCTCTCTCTCTCTCTATATATATATATATATATATATATATATATATATATATATATATATATATATATATATATATATATATATATATATATATATATATATATAATTTAAGTTTATTCAAATTTGTATGAAACTTTTTTTTTATTTTAAAGAATAGGTAAAATTATATATAACTCTCATCCTTGGATGTCTTCAAAGTAAATTTTGCATAATGATAGCAAATCATCATCACTTAGTAAGGGATCAAAATTTGTTAGAGGTATTAGTTAATCTTTATTTTAAAATGTAGCTTTTTAATATGGCGCATGTATACAATAATTGAACTTCTAACCTTATAATAATTGCTATATAGCAATTCACTTACTAATTATCTAAATTGTTGGATTAAATTAATTTGTTTTTATTAATATTAATACAATAAAATATGAGTTGACATGATACATGATGTTATATTGGCAAGACAATAAAAACGCCAATGCCACTTTAGTAAATTAACAATCAATTTTAATAGTGTCAATGATTGTCTTTAACTATAATATACTGTTTTAAAGTATAATATAAACAAAATAACTTTGAGTTAGCATGACACATCATATTATATTATGCTAACATGACAATAATGATGTGAATGCCACATCAACAAATTAACATGCATGTTTTCCTTAATTATATTATACCATTTTTTTTAACAATGTAATTGATTTCCTTAACTTCAACACTTACAAATTAATTCCTTTTCTCATTATAGAATTTCAATCATTGGAACGATAATAATTCATCCAATGCCCTTAATTAAATTTGAGTATATATATCACTTTAAATAAGTACATACTCCATAGTTTACAACTAGACTAAATATTTACTAATTATGAAAAGATGTTAAATGCCTTTTGAACAATTATCAAACCAGTGAAAGTAATAGCCTAAATCACCAACATTTTGACCATTCAATTCGCTACCATTAGCTTCTTTATAGATGTTCTTGATTTGAACACCGTCATTTCTTTTAAAGTATACTCGAAATATATCTCGTATAAAATGGAAACTATATATGGAATACACTATGGATAGGGATGAATGTATTATTAGTGCAAGTGGAGATGGATGTGATGTGAATACCATCGCTTTCAACGTATCCTTTGTGCTGTCAGATTCTTCAACATCCATCACAAAAAATATGTGTGAGGCTGTAAAATGAAATGAGACCAAACCTTTGAAACACAGGCCTAGCTAGCTTTAAGGTTTTTTTTTTTTTTTTTTTTTTTTTTTTTTTTTTTTTGTTTTGTTTTCCTGTATCCCATTTCAGGAAAGTAGGTTAGTTGGTTGTATGGTTACAAGTAGGATGAATGGAATACGTTGGACCAAAATATATGCATTACAAGTTGGCATGCTTTTTAGTGACCTGGCACAATTTAAAGAAGCCAATGATTCTTATTGGATTATCAATAATAGATTTGACCTAACATGTTGTGGAGATCAGAGAGAGGAGTACAGTGCATATAAGATACAAGAAAGCACGTATATATTGTCACCAAAGATCACCATTATGTTTTCAGCAACTGCCCGACTAACTTAATTGGGGTTATCTCAAAGTTATTTTAAACTTGTTTATAAACACTGTGCTTTTTTAAAATTTTTGTTTCGACTCAATCCTAATTGAGAAAAATATATATATATGTAATATCACTCTTTTTTCTTCCTCTTTGGTCCAAATTAAAGCGTTGATTTTTTTATTTT